GCGAAGAAAGAGAACATGGAAGGGGCTGATGTTTGGCGGACATGCTCATCTCTGGGGGGGGTATATGGGGTGGAGGTGGGGTCGGGGAGATCCCAGATGGCTCAAAGAAGGGGTAACAGTCATTTCTCTGCTTCTAAGGCTGACACGCCAAAGGGCCCTCATGGGAAGGGCGGGGAGTCTGCTTTCAAAGAGACTACAGATTGCACACTTCACTTCCTTGCTGGGATCACAGTTTAAAAGCCATGATTACTCTCTGAGCAGTCAGGCGTCTTGTCTTCCCTGTAATACACTGATTTTAGAGAAGGGGACTGCGGGGAGGAGGGAGGGGAAGGGGAATCCCCCTGGCAAGGGGCCTGCCCACAGAGCTCCCTTTGTCGTTACTATGGAAACAGGCATAATAGGAACAAAACAGAGGCCCGTCGCCTGGCAACAGAGAAGCCCAAGGTTCATCACACACACACACACTTGACGCATGTACACATCAGGGAACCCCCAGCAGGGGGCGGGGGGAGGGAACAAAACTTCTGGGGAAGCTGGGGTATCCCAGTGATGACGAGTTCTAAGACTCACCTAACTTTGCCAATGAACCCGCAGGCCCGTGTGGGGTCAGATGCCTCAGAAATGTGACAGAGTGCCAGGCAGGAGGCTGGAAGTCCTCCTGGACCCCTGGGTGGCCCTTATTTTGACCGAGGCATCTGAAACCTTCCAAAAGAGAAAGGTTTTCTTTGCAAAGTTGAGATGGAGTTGGGGGTGGGGGTGATTCCTTATAACTAAAAAAATTGTGTGTGTATCCACGAAAAAATTCCCCCACGAGTGTATGTTGGGGGAATGAGGTGTCAGTGTAAAGGATATAGCAGAAAAGACAATATCCCATTTTCCCAAAGCCTAAGGCCTGCGAGGAGCTCAGAATACATTTCCTTCAGGAAGGAGCACCATGAGGGCAGGGATGCCATCCTGTCATGTTCTTATTTATTTATTTATTTAATTTTAATTTTAAAAGATTTATTTATTTGACAGAGAGAGCATGAGCACAAGCAGGGGGAGTGGCAGGCAGCAAGAAAACAGGCTCCCCCTGAGTGGGGAGCTTGACACGGGACTCGATCCCAGGACCCTGGGATCGTGAGCTGAGCTGAAGGCAGATGCTTAACCGACTGAGCCCCTCAGGCACCCCATCCCATCAGGTTCTTGATCCCCTGCACCAGCACCACTAGTGTTACACACACAGTGAATGTTTGTGCAGCTGCCAGAGAGGTCTGTAAGTGGGGGACTTGGTCCCTGGAGGCTGAGAGTAAAAGGAAGTGTGGGGTTCAGGATGCTGTTGTGGAAAAGACACGGACTTTGGGGGCAGTTATCCCTGGAGTTCGTTCGTTCGTTCATTCATTCATTCATTCATTCATTCATTCCGCAAAGTTCTTCAGCGTTTGCTCTATGCCAGCCACTGCTCCAGGCACAGGGCAGACAACAAAGAACAAGAAAATCCCTGCCCTTGTGGAGCCTGGATGCCGGTAGGAGTTTCCACTCCTGCTGCTGAGGGCTGTGTGACTTCAGGGGAATCACTAATCCTTTCTGAGACCATTTCGTCCCCAAGCATGTGACGATCTATTGAGCTAACACACCATACTGCCTGCTGTGGCCTGAGACACAATCACCATTACGGTCTAGCTTTGTGGGGTGAGGGGTGAGGGGCGGGAGGGGGCTCCAGCAGAGGGCGGAAGGAGAAGGGTGGGCAGAAATTTCCAAAAGAGCGTGCGTCTCCATTTAAGCCATTGAAAATTGTTGAATATATTCCCTTCCCCTGGGCCAAGGAAGCTGACCTAGGAAAGCCCAGCTCCTGTTCCAGCAGGTACCGACCATAGTTTTTTTCTTTTTTCTTTTTTTTTTTTAATGGGGCAAGGGTATCGGTTACTCCGCCTCTCGCTCAGCTGGGAATTCGGCAGGAGCCCGTCCCCAGGACCACCCCCCACCAGGGGGGTCGCTCCTACCTCTGAACGAAGAACCTGGACGGTAATCCCAGCTCTGCAGCAGCTCTGCAAACCAGCCTCTCCTGCCTTCTTCTCTGTTGACCAAGAGGGTGGCCAGAACAAACAATGAACAGATACGTTGGCCGTGAGCCCAGGACACTAGCCTCTGCTCTTTCACTCCTGGGGGGCTGACAGAGCCCATGCTCCAGGGAGGTAGACACCCACACCCTCCCTCCCTGTTTCTCTCCCGCTCCAGCCCCTCCCTCCAAACTCCCAACGCGCCCTTCGGCAGAACCCCTAGGTCTCCGTGATTATCCGCAGAGAGCTGTTTTCCAAATTCCCAAAACCTAGGTCTAAATCCACTCCCCTTTAAATATGTCCCGGGAAATCTTGCTCTTTCAAGGAACCAGGTGAGTCATAAAGCTAAAAATCCTTCGGTCAACTGTTAACAGTGGTTACTTTTGGGGAGAGGGACTGGGGAGGGGAGGAGGGACCCATTGACTTTTTACCGGTCTACCTTTCTCTATTGTTTACATTCTTCACCAGATGGGGGCATTGATTTTATTTAAAAAAAGAAAAAAGTCAACAAGGATTATCGGACTTGGGGCATGAGGGCCCACTTTGGTTTCTCGGTATTCTCGCTCCATTTGTGAAAAGCTGAAAAAATGTTATGGACAATGAAATAATTAAAAAGCCATTAGTAAAGGAAATAAGGAGCGCTTGGTACTTACATATTTTTATTTTTATTTATTTACTTATTAAAAAGATTTTATTTATTTATTTGACAGACGGAGATCACAAGTAGGCAGAGAAGCAGGCAGAGAGAGAGAGGGAAGCAGGCTCCCCGCTGAGCAGAGAGCCCAATGCGGGGCTCCATCCCAGGACCCTGGGATCATGACCTGAGCTGAAGGCAGAGGCTTTAACCCACTGAGCCACCCAGGCGCCCCTATTTATTTATTTTTTAAAAGATTTTATTTATTTGGGGTGCCTGGGTGGCTCAGTAGGTTAAGCGTCTGCCTTCAGCTCAGATCATAATTTCAGGGTCCTGGGATGGAGCCCCCCATTGGGCTCTCTGCTCAGCAGGGAGCCTGCTCCCCCCTGCCCCCGCCTACTTGTGATCTATCTCTTTCAAATAAATAAATAAAATCTTTAAAAAAAAGATTTTTTTATTTCACAGAGAGAGCCACAGAGAGAGAGGGAACACAAGCAGGGGTTAGTGGGGGAGGTTGAAGCAGGCTTCCCACCAAGCAGGGAGCCCGATGTGGGCCTCAATCTCAGCACCATGGGATCAGGACCCAAACTGAAGGCAGACACCTAATGACTGAGCTACTCAGGGGCCTGGTACTTACATGTTTTTAAAAGCAACCCAAAGTTGAAAAGTTTAGGTGTTTTCTTCAAATAGGGTAGGTTCAAGGAAAGGGGTACAGAACAAAATGGAGGAGGCACTGCTTTGGAAACCCTGGGTTTGGAAAGCTTGTGATTTGTGTGGTGGGACGGCCTCTGCCGTGGGTTTGCGTCCCTATCTGGGTGTGTGTGTGTGTGTGTGAAACAGAGGTAGGGAGTGGGGGGAGGAGGGAGAACGCACTTGCACACAGGAGTGAGAGACAGAGAGAGATATAGAATGCGGGTGCCCAAGTCTCTGCTTTGTCTGTCTTTGCGTGTCTATGCCTGTCTGAACGTCTACACGTGTGTCTCCACCTTTCTGCGCCCATTGTATGAGTCTGGGCACAGCTAGGACTTCTTTGCCTGTGTCTTCCCTCCCCCATGGCCTGTGCTGGTAACTGGACCTGGGACACAGCCCCCAGGGCTGGCAGCAGAGTTGGCTGCTGGGTATTTTTAGCCTGTAAACATGTTTGCCATTTCAGAGGACAGGGCCTCAGGTCTCAGCCCCAGCCCACTCACGATCTTGCGGTGAGGAGGGCGCTCCTGCCTGGAGCAGGGTCTTCTGGGGGGGCCTCCAGCCTGGGGGTCTTCCTTCCTCAGCATTTGGGAAGGAAGGAACACTGCCTTGATGTGGGTAGTGGGTGGCCACCTAGGAGAGGGGATAAGAGGATTCGTGGGGAGAAGAGAATGGGAGTGTGGAAGGGGGGCCGGGGAGCCAGAAGGTTCCCCCCGCCTCCCGCACCCCATCATTAAGCGGTTAATAAAGTCTCCTGGATTAGAAGTGGCTGTGGGAAATGGCAGTAAATCTGGAAACAGCGTCCTTGCAAGTGGGAAGGTGGGGGAAGGGCTCGAGTCAGAAGTGGGTAAGTAGAGGCAAGGCTAAAGCTCCCGCTTCCCTCAGGAGCCCGGGGAGGAGGGTGGGTTGCCAGCATGACGCCCCTGTCACGGCAGCGACAGGAGCAGCCCCGTGGTGCGTGGGGCGCTGATGACTCCACGTGGACACCCTAACTCCAGGGGTGGGGCCAGCGTCTACAGACAGGTTTTCTGTGGCGGGGGTGGGGGGAAGCTATGGGGGGTGCTCAGAAAGGGGTGGTGGCGAGAAATGGGCGCGGCTGCATGAAGCTTGGGAACCAAGTGAAGGGACTGGGGCCTGGGATTTGAAGTTTAGATGCCTGGGTTGAGAGAAAGCTCAAAGGTCTGAGTCAGGCTGGTGGTCGCGGCCGAATCACCCAAGCACCCGCCCCCCACCCCCCCCCAGCCGCTTTCTGAACCCCTTGGTCCTTCTTGCAAAATGAGCAGGTTCGCAGTTCCAGGGGGAAGGATGAGGCTCAGGGAGCTTCGAGGAGTTTCTGGTCGGGGAGCCCACACACTGAAAACGTTGGGGGGCAGATCCAGGCGCGGGCCAGAGCAGGGGGCACTGGAGGGGGAACGGGGTAAGGCAGCCCTCGGACGCGCGACGCCCCTTCGTTTCCGCGCCCCCCAGCGCCCCCTCCCCCCAACCCCCCAGCCGCCCGCTCCCGGGTCCATGTCGGGTCGGCCCGCTGGCCCGTCCCAGCCCCACTCCGGCCCCGCCCTGCCCCGCCCTCTCCCCACCGCTCCGGGCAGACCCGCCCGCCCGAGCCGGAGTTACAAGAGCCGCCTCCGCGCGCGGGGGCCCGGCCACTCGGAGCAGCTCCGCCGCGGGGACTGCACCGCCCGCCCTGCCGGACCCGCCCCAACCAAGGCTCGCCGCCTAAGGCAGCCGCAGCACCGCGACCTGGGGCCCCGCGCGGGCTATGGCTGTGCCCGGGGGCTGAGCGCGCAGGTAGGGACACCGGGCGCACCGCGGCGCGGCGGGGACGCGAGTCCGGGAACGGGTGCGGGGAGGTGGGTTTCAGGGCGGGGGCGAGGCGCTCGGGCCGAGCGCACTGCGGGGATTCAGTGTGTAGCAAGCGGGGCTGCCCGGCGCCGCGCGGGGAGGCGACGCGTCGCGCTCTGGGAGCCAGACTCTGCCTCCGGAGTTGGGGCGCAAGTTGGGCAAAGTTGGAAAATCGCTCCGAAGCGGGTATTGCTCCAGCCCTTATTTCTCTCGAGGGCTGAGTGTTGGTTCTGTTGCACGGCTGGGCGCGCGGTTCCTGGCCTGGGGGTCCCCTGTGGTTCCCCGTCCCATCCCCTCCTTCTTGGGGCGGCGGCTCAAGCGCACCGCTCCCGCTCCTATTCCGTGTTTACTGGAGAAGTTTCCGTGGTCGTCGCCGCGGCCCCTCGGCTCCTCCCGAAGCCCCCGCGCCCCTTCCGCGGTCCCTCCCCGCTCCCCACACCTCCGCCTCAACTGAGCGTCCGGAGTCCTCCCGGCCCCACCCAGTTCTGTACCACCAGCCTCTCCCTTTCTCAGCCCCCCTCCAGCTGCCCCGCCCTAGTCTGGCCCCTCCGCGTGTCCCGCTCCAGAAGTCTCCCTTCTTCCTCCAAGGCCGCGCTGCCTGAAGTTTGCAGCGCGCCTCGGGGCCGGACGGGTGGGAGTGGGGGTGGGGGGCGTAATTAGGGAGATTCCAGCTCTGGGGTGGGCGGGGATGGGGGGGAACTGTGCGGCAGCCCGGCCCCCGGCACCGCCCCTTCCCTTTCGGGGGCGGCGCGCTCTCCCCTACCCCACTCCCAAACCCGTCCGGGCGGGATGGCCCCCGCCCCAGCGCCTGGCACGGCGCCAGCAGCCTGAGGAATGTGGTGGTTGGAGCCGCTGACTAATTCAAACCAGAACTCGGGGGGGAGTGGTGAGGGGCGAAGGGGAGGGGGAGGAAGGGGCTGTGTGCGGGAGGTGGGGGCAGGAGCCGGCTCCGCGCGGGAGGAGGGCTTAGCCGCCGTCTCTGTACTAGCGATGCGCTCCAGGAGACGGGGTTGGGGGACGGGGTCCGGCCGTGGAGTTGCAAAGGCAGAGGGTTTAGGGTGTGTTCGGAGAGCCGTGTTATGTAAGGCTTTCCCAGGCGGGGAGAGGGTGTGCAGTGTGTGAGGGCCTGGCCCTCCAGGGCTGGCCCGGGCGCCCCCTGCAGTGACAGGGCCCGGGATGTGGGGTGCAGCCCTGGGCGGTGCTGGCCACGAGGGACACGTGGGGTCTGATTAGGCCTGGCGGTGCTCCTTGCGTGGGAGGGGAGCCGAGTGGGCAGACTGGGCACCTCGCAGCTCGGGCTAGGCGCCTGCACCAGGTGGGGGACGGCCCTGGCGCCTTTGCACAATGTGGTGTGCTTGGTGTGGGCTCTCGCCTTTCACTGGGTGTGGCTGCAGAGAGGGGGAGGTGGGTGCCTCCAGGGAGCCCGCGGAGGCTGCTCAGAGCCCTGCTAACGTGCAGTGGATTTATGGAAAGGCTGAATGGGACCATCCCCTATTTGGGCGGGGGGTGGGGGGATCCTTAGAGAGTGACCTGGAGTTTGGGAGAGAAAAAGAGTGGGATATTTACCTCTGAATCCCTGGCGCAGCGCTGGGCTCCCAATAAATAATTGGTTTTGAAACAGTTTCTCCTGTTAGGATCCAACCTCCAATGACAGGGATCACTTGCCCTTCCTCACCGGGTCCAGCACTGGTAGGGGCTGGGTTGGTTTCACCGGACCCAGTGAGAGCATGGGGGCTAGAGTGATAGGCGAAGGCTGCGGGTGGTGGTGGTGGGGGGAGACTGAAGATGCTTTGGAAGGCATTTTCAGGCCTCCACACTTAGGCTGCCCGTAAAGCAGGGGTGCAGATTCTGCTTTCTTCTCCCTCTCTGCCTCTGCCCCGCCTTGAGGGAAATCCCTGGGGCAGGGTGTGGCACTCACTTCCTTTCCGAGGCGGAATGGGGAGGCTTCCTTCTTCTTGACCCAGAGGGATGATGGGTTAGGCCTGCACAGGGTAGGTAAGTGGGCAGAGTGGGGGGCAGAAGGGCGCCCCAGGCTTAGGGGGTATGTCCTTGGTCTGAACGGTGAGCTTCGGAATGAAGGAGGTGGGGTGGGGCAGGGAGGGAGAGGACCTGGGACCGTGAGAGCTGGGCTAGCAGAGGACACAGGGTCTGGGAGCTTCAAAATGGGGACTGGAGGGCGTCTCAGCCCCTCTCTAAGGCTCTGTCCTGAAGAGAGTATAGGCAGGAACATTGGTCATCGGACAGGGACGCGTAAGGCGCCACGTCCGTCATGCGGGGCTTCGTGCTGGGGGTTCGGGAGGCCTTTGCGGTGAGTCAGGGGTCCTTGTCTGGGCAACCCCTTGAAGAGATAACCCCACAGAGCTGGGACTTGTACCAGCCAGGCTTAGTCCAGGGCCCAGGGTGAGGCCCGAGAGAGTAAACCACGGAGGACTCGTGGAGGGAGAAGGCCAGCAGCAGACAACGGCAGGGAATGGGCTGGGGGTCTCCAGGGTCGCCTGAGGCCCAGAGAGGCCCTGGGTGGAGGTGACCAGGCATTGCCCGGCTAGATTCTTTGGCTCAACTTGGAATTGGCTGGCTGGCGCTGGTGGAGACACTGCCAGAGCCCGAGGAGCTGGTTTGAGAGGTTGGGGCAAAGCTGTGGGGGTGGAGGGGCGTGTGGGGCTCTGGGGTGTGGTCACCACCTTCCTCAGAACTTGGGAACCGCCTGGGGACAGACAGAGATACACCAGGAAAGCTAGTCCTACTCGTGATGGGAACTCTCCCACTGTAGGCTCTTCCCCGCCCCCCCCCACTCCCCAACACCCCCAAGTTTCTCTCCCTGGAGCTGGGCCGGCCTGCTGCTGGGGCCTGAGGAGGGGAAGGGAGGTAGCTGCTGGAGAAGGTCTAGAATGTGCTGGCTTTAGTCAGGTGGTGGCGGCGGCCATGTCTAGGGCCTTTTGCTCTCTCTTCGCCCCCCCATGGGTTTCATCCAGGCTCGCAGGGAGCTGGCCTGTGACCATCCTGTTGGCACTCCAGGCCTTCCTGGGCGGGCTCAGTTTCCTCCGTGCGTGGTGGCCCGGGGAGCGAGGGGGCTCCTGCGTGGATGGGCCACGGTGGGGCACGTGCGCATGAGTTTGATAGAAACCCCCCTCCCCCCAGTTCCCGCCAGGAGGACTCCTGGGCTGTTGCAGCTGCGGGTCTTGCTTGCATCCAGGCGACGCCGTTTCACAGTGTTCTTGCGTCCCTGTGACCCCCAGTGTCCTAGCGGTGAGGTGTGATCACCCGCGGGAGGGTGTTCCTCTGGCTGTCATGGGGGTCCTCGATGTGTCACCCTGCTTGCGCCCGTGGCTTCCAGGGCTGGGGACAGCAGTGGGTCTCTGCCCCGGTGCTGGAGGTTGCGCAGGGCCTCTAGGTAGGACGGTTTCTGTGTCCTAGACAGTTTCTGGGCCCTGGAGTTTGTATCCGGAGGTCCTCAGGAGGGCGAGGCTAGCTCTGGGAACGAAGCCCTGGTTGAGTGATGCGGAGAGGCGCTGCACACGGCTGGTCGGGGAGAGGCATCCTGTCCCATCCCTGGAGGCCAGAGCGGAGATTCTAGGGGAAGGGGAAGTGCCTGGAGCTGATCCCGGCTCCGTGTCCTGGCTGGGCTGGGGGGCGGCTTCTTGGCCGCTGCGGAGCGGCGGGGGCCTGGCCCTGCGCCCCTGCACTGGCGGGGTGTGACCGCTGGGCGGAGAGCTCGCCTGTGGTTGGGGAGTTTCTGCACCCCTGGCAGCTCCGGGGCCGTCGTCTTCCCCCAGGGGGAGACGGAGCGTTCTTCTTCACCACCCCTGCCCCGCAGAGGGTGCCACCGCCAGACTTGGTGTCTTAGTCCCCGCGGTCCTGGGGAAAAGCTCTCTATTCCCGGGCTGTGTGGCCAGGGGCGGGGACTTGCGGCTGGATAGTGGGCTGCTGTCCCCATCCCCTGTCACAAGGAGGAGGGGAGTCCCTCTCGGTCAGGGGAGGTAGAGGGAATCTCCCTCCTTGCTGGAAGAGAGAACTTGGAGCTTGCTCTGGGGGGGTTGGGAGGAAGCTGTGTGCGGAGGGCCAGTGGGGAGAGTTGGAGAGAGGTGTTAAGGGAGGGACCCAGAGATCAGCTGGCCTGTAGGGTCTGAGTGGGGCTCCCCTGGATGTTGAGGTGGGGGTCCCCTGCTGGGGCTGACCTGGAGGAGAGGGCTGGAGTGACCGAGCTGGAGGAACCCCCTCCTGGTGGGAGTTGTGGGCTGGCCCAATGGCCCAGGTGGCCAGAGAACAAGATAGGCGCACACAGGTAGAGGGAGACACAGACTCCGGGCACCAGGCTGACGGGTTAGGCGCCTTCCATGATGGGCAGGTCCTGGGGCTGCCCAGACAGGTGTGTGTTGGGAGCTGGGGAAGGCAGGGCTGTGGGCCTGCTCAGGGCTGGGAAGAGTGGGGAACGGGGCTGATGAGCGTGTCGGCGTGCATGCGGCGTGTGCGCGTCCTTGTCTTTCTTTCTGGGAATGTCCTTCCAGTGCCCAGGTTGCCTGTGTCTTGCAGCATGTTAGTTGTATTCTGCCTGATAATCCCACTCCCCCCAACACACAACATGCCCCCTTGGGCTGTACCCCCCAGGATGAGCTGAGTGTAAAAGTTCTCGATGGCCGGCTTTGGCTCTGGAGATTACCGAGCTGTTCTCCCCCAGTTCGAATAGGGCCTGCTGTTTTCCAGACAGAGTTCTGGCAGCGGCCTCCGCGGAGGTCTTTTCGGAGCCTTGGGCCCTGGAAGGGAACCCAGCCCTGTGTGGGACAAGGGTCTGTGCTGTTGTGGCTGTTCCCCTTCCCCAGTGAGTGGAAGCGTGTGTCTTGCCCTGCTGGTGCCTTTCTCTGGAGTGGGTCTTGTGTCCCGCAAGCCCCAGAGGGGACAACCCTCATGGCCTTCACTTGCTGGGGCCCCAGAGAGCCTGGCGGTGAGCT